GATGTGCGTATGAGACGCCCCATATTAGGAGCAGATCCGGTCTCGAAGCAAGGAAAAGTATGATGACATAAACAGACTAATTTTAAGTGGGTTCGGTACAAACGTTAAGTGGGTTCGGATCCAAACCAATCCGATCCCGAGAGGCATATGCATGTCATCGAATTCTAAAATTGGTAAACACACAACCGATGTTATCAGAGCATTAAAATAATCGATCAGAGCATTCTCATCTGAGAATCGCGAGCCTAGCAGGAACCTTAGATTAACTATTAGTTAATATAGTAAAATAATAATATYTGTTCAAAATCCGACCTTAGCTCAGTTGGTAGAGCGGAGGACTGTAGTTGTAGCACAGAAATCCTTAGGTCGCTGGTTCGAATCCGGCAGGTCGGACATTTTTACTTTTAAAATCAAACTCAATTTTCCATTATGATACGGGTAAGGTAAGAACAATCTAATTCTATGGGAACAGACATGATCCGAGGAAAGTCTTTCACCAATCAAATCTATATCTTTCTTTACTATTAAGTACATAAAAGTAATTTTAACTATTATTTAAGGTATTTATTCCCTTTCTCTCTTATTAAATCATATATTAATTTTTTTCATTAATAAATTTTATTATTATTTTATAGTAAATAAATTCTGTTAATTAAATCTATATTCAATACTTTTAATAATATAAAATTCATATTTAAAACCAACCCAAAAATGACACCGGTCTTCCATTGTGATGGTAAGTAATTTGACTATCCAAATCAAATGGGTCTCATAGTTAAATAATAAAACATTTAAAATATAAATAAATACAAAAATTACAAAAAAAGTTTAAAAATTATAAAAACATTAAACACATTTTTAATCTTTTATATTAATCATATTAAATAAGTATATGTATAATAAATAATAATTGCTTTTTATTGATGTTGAAAATAAAATACAAAATTTAAAAACTTAAATTTCATTTTAGTTAATTGACTAAATGTACCCTTATAGTTTGAAAATTGACCAACGCTACCCTTATTATTTCTAACAAACTACCTAAAACTTTCCCTACTATTGACATTCCGTGGTAAATTATTCACATAATGTAATTGTTATATTTTAAAAAATCCCTAATATATATWTTTTTTCAAAAATGCCCTTTTCGATTTGGGCAGATGATGCTAACTCTATTATCGAGTATAGATTGGTTCTACTGTTGAACCAGTCATTAACCTCAACATGATAGGGACCGACCTATTGTTGATAATCTCCAACACCAACACTGATGTAGGAAGGGAAAAAAATAACCTCTAGAACAGTGTCTTAGTCAGCACAACCATTGTTACTCGGCTACCAAGTCTGCACCAGTGGATACCACCCAAGAATCCCTGCCCAAATCATCAAATAATCTTGTCCAAATCTTCTCATTTCTCTCTATAAAGAACATAATCACAATAGCAACGATAGAAACAACAGCATCCTTTGCTCCGATGGAATCTATAGATTGGGGAGAAGCATCAACATCACCTAGGGAGAAGCACTTGCATCCTCTGCTTTGATGGAATCTCTGTATTGGGGATAAACACTAGCATCCTCTACTCTGAATTAGAATCTCGTCGGCTCACTTGCTTTCTCTCGGACCAGTGGCACTATGATCTACAAGGTACAGTTCCGACCCCTTTCTCACTCTCTCTCACTACCGAACTACAATCGACACCTAGGGAGAAGCATCGGAATCCTCTGCTTCGATGGAATCTCTGGATTGGGGATAATTACCGACATCCTCTACTCCAAATTGGAATTTCACCGGCTCGCTTGCTTTTAGGTATAGTTCCGACCCCTTTTTCACTACTACCCACTCATTGGTTGTGCTCGAGACCTCGTATCCCCCTTCGACCGGAGCTTTCCGCCGAGATCAATGAACCAGATGGATTCTTTGCAGATCTGAGAGATACTCAACAGATCTGGGCACTTGTTTGAAAGTTCTGAGATCTTCAACCTATCGTCGATCTTGCCATGAAGGTGTCGGTGCCAGAGGGGGTCGATGCAGAAGACAATGGCAGAGCTAAACCCGACCCAAACAAGAAACCAGAGCTTCAAGCACTGTAACTCTGTTCTTCTCTTGTTCGAGAAGAAGAGAGCTTCTAAAAATTCAAAAACCCCTCTCGAAGAAATATAGCTTCATTTCTCCTCTGCAAGAACAAAAAACGTTATATCAACGAGGGAAAACTGGATAGACCATTAAAACCAGTAATGGTGAGGGAAAGGAAAGATTGCCGTCCGATTGTGTGTCCTTAGTGCTCCCGCAAAGCTCTGCCATTCGTAAGTTGTAGCGACCGCCGTTATAAGCGATAGCAATGGTGCTCCAGCCTCCGGGCATTATGTTTAACTGAGTGAACCCACATATACGTTAAAATGAGGGATAAAAAGGTACATTTAACTTTCCGTCTTAAGTTTGAGTTAAAGGGTAAAATGAACATTTTAACCATTCCAAACAATACTAGTAAAACCTAATCACCAAATCAAGAGGTAGCGTCAGACAATTTTCAAATAGTAAGGATACATTTAGTCAAATCTCTAAAAACAATTTACCCAATTTAACATTATCCCAAAAATAAATTTATTTTCCAGGATCAACAGTTCAACTTTTGGGTTAAATATGCCAAACTTTAATATCATAATTATAATAAAAGATACAAAAAAATTATAGAGAATGCAAAAATTGTGTTAAAAATATTTAATCACATTTCACATAGAACTTTATTTTATTGATGATGGTAATGAAATACAAAATTTAAAACTAACCCAAAAGTGAAAATGAAGTAAGTTTTAATCTCATTTTTGTGATAGGACAATAATTATAAGATTTTAAGTCAAATATATTAAACGTTGATGACATAATTAAAAAATAAAAATTAAAAAAATACAATAATACAAAAAAGTTTACAAAAATAAATAAATTTTGTAAAAATCATTTGAGCACATCCCTAATACCATATAATGTGATTATATACAAAAATAAAATGTTGAAAATGTGGAATCATTTTATTACTATCATCACCACCCTCCTCTAAAATTGCCATAAATTGCCATGTGCAATGCAAATACACACTTACTAATACCTACATGTTATGCACAGGATAATACTTTCAGACAACTAAAATTTCCCATATTGGGGGAGTTTACATTTGATCTAATGATGCTAAATGATAATTAAAATTTTTTGCATTCTTTTGTTATATTTTTGTACAAAAATATTTCTTATTTATCAACTAAATACTTACTTTTGTCTAATATAATGAATATATAATATCATAATTTGTTTTTTACAAATTTCTATCTTCTTTTAACTTATTTATATTTTTATCTTTTTTAAGCGGCTTAAGTTGAACTATTGACTTACCACTAAATAAAAAAAATAATTTCATTTTTGAATTAATTTTAAATTTAATTTGTATTTCATTTCCATTTCCATTTCCATTTCCACTTCTTATTTATTACACTTATTTTTTTAATTGATATGCACCAAACACTTTTTAATAAATTAATAAAGATATATTAATTTATTAAATTTTATTATATACAAAAACAATTTCGTTTTTTGAGTTGATTTTAATTTTTTTCATATCATTAGTAAAAACAATCACGGTATTTATCAAACTTACTTTTAAAATAATTAATACGAATCCAATAGATTTTTTTTTTGTAATTTTTGTATTCAGTGGTCAGTTTTAAGAAAACATGAATTTTATATATTTTTTGGGTTGATTTTAAATTTTATTTTCATTTATATCATTAGTAAAAACAATCATGGTATTTATCAAAGATACTTTTCTTTAATAAATTAAAATAACCAATACGAAACAATTGAGATATGTCCAATAGAACTTTTTTAGTAATTTTGTATTCACTTGATCAGTTTAAAAAAACCATGCATGAATTTTATATTATAGTAGAATATGAGAAAAGATTTATTAAATATAAGGGTAAAATACGAAAACCTTCCTACAAGTTTCTGATAATTATAAAAACCTCTCCTTTAATTTAAATTTCTCAAAAACCTCCTTTGAATTTTCAAAAAAATCAACGATCAAGTCGAAAAATGTTAAATCTATGATAATTCTTTTTCTGAGGCATAACTTCACCGGAAAAATGCCTGAGCTTCGATCTGAAGCATAACAACCTCACCGGAAAAATCCCTCAAACTGAAAAGTAGACAACTGGGATGAGCCTCTCTCCGGCATCACTTTCTTCATGTAGTTTTTAGTTTAATGGGGAGCGCGAAACCGACCTCGACAAGGTCTGCATTTGTCTCTGGAGTTCAAGAATTTTCGGTCCTTTCTGAGTCGGAAAATCAAAATCCCTCCTTAGCATCCGTCGGAAACCATCAAGATCATCACCGGGAAATGATTTTTCTAGAGAAAGATTGCCAACGCCGGAGGGACTGAGATTGGGGCGCGTGGATTATGAGAATCAGATACGGAAGCTACAGGGGATGAGAGAGAAGTTCATGATGTCTACGGCGAACACGGTCGTCTGCGAGGTGTGTTCGGATGCAAAAGGCAGAGGTACCATTTTTCCAATGCGTATTCGATGCCGTGACGGTGGGGTTTCAATCTTCGGCCGGTCCAATTGCTAGGCCGCCCAAATCCGGTTAGCTTTTAATTTCTGGCGGTTTGAGGGATTTCTCCGCTGAGGTTATTATGCCTCAGATCAAAACTCACCGGCACCGGCAATCTCCCAAGTGATGCCAAGATCTCGTACTCATTTTTCGTCTTGCTTATCGACGGAAGGAAGGTTTTTAACAATTTTTTTAAAAATAAAAGGGAGGTTTTATTTTTATGATTGTCAGAATTTCAGGGGAGGTTTTTGTAATATATAATAAGAAATAATTATTTTTTTCAAAAAAATGAAATTAAATTCATACCATAGAAAGAGGCGTACAGCACTAATTTCAATACACTCAGAATTAAAGAGACCAAATTGAACAAACTTTTCACTTTATTCGTATTTTCGATATCCTCTAGAGTCGTCCCAACACATTACATTATTATAGTGAGAATTGAGAATTGAGAATAAACTCAAAACACATTATTTAAAAGGGGTGAGGTGGATGATCACGAAACACCCAACAAACTAAAAGATATTACCACGTAAACATACATGCAGATGACTCAACCGTACGTTTAACGGAAAGTCCCGCTGGCCCCGTATCCGGTCGCATTGTTTCCGCCGCTACCGCCACCCACCCCAGCTCCACCGTCATCCAGTCCCATGTTGGTTCCGGTCGGGTACCCGTACCCTGTACCAGTCCCGGTGTCTCCGGCTCCGCCACCAACTCCAGCTCCACTGTCATCCAGTCCCATGTTGGTTCCGGTCGGGTACCCGTACCCAGTTCCAGTCCCGGTATCTCCGGCTCCGCCACCAACTCTAGATGCTCCACTGTCATCCAGTCCCATGTTGGTTCCGGTCGGGTTCCCGTACCCAGTTCCAGTCCTGGTGTTTCCGCCCCCAAGTCCAGCTCCCGTGTCATCCAGCCCAGCCCCTGCGTTGGTTCCGGCGGTGTAATCGTATCCAGTTCCAGCACCGGCGTCTCCGCCAACTGCCCCGGCGTAATTCGACCCCTTGTTGTCTCCCCCCGTGTTTGACCAGCCCGCGTTGGCCTCATTCCCTGCAAACCCTGCACCTAGGCCGTCGTCTCCACACGCCAGACCGGTGTTGCTATCATCCAGCTGCTGCTGATTATCGCCGGTACCGGTCATCCTGCTCACCTGTCAAGAGTTTATATAAAGCCGAAACGATTCAAAGGTAGAAAGCAAAAGAAGCGTTGAGATTCCTATCGATCAGACGGCGTAGATAGAAAAAGGAACGAAACGAACCTGTTCTTTGGTCTTGTCCACCCCGGCCCTGGCCGAGTCGGCAATGTTTGAGACGGTATCCCTCATGGCCTGCATTTTCGTTTGCTTTCACAGACGATCGAAGATTAATTAGGAAATCTGTATCTGATTTCAGAAAGAAAGAGCTCGTCGTGTGTGTCGGACCAACGCGATGTGTCCCCGCTTTATATGAATGAATCAAATGATCCATTGGTTGACAGGTGTAAAGAAGAGATACTACGTGGTGATGTTCTTCGAATTGATTCTAACACGAAGATGAGGTCCGCCTCCTCCAGGAGAAGCAAGGTGGAGAATTGAGGCGACTCCACTTATTGTCGGAAATTCGACGAGGCATCCGGTTTGTTCACGTTTACTAGAACAACGTTTATTACCTTTTACTTTTTTTTTTCCCTACTAAAATATAAGATTACCTGGTACTTCCTCGCAAGTAAATCCGCAAAGTAGGGAAGTTCACAAGTCGAATTCTGTACGAATTATTCGATTTCGATTCATGAATATCTCGATTTGGTTCGTTTTAAATGAAGCTTCGAGTATATGCCCCGATAGGAATTGGAATTTAATAAAGTTGGATTCGTGAGGTTAATCAGCTTAATAGAGCTTTTACAAAAATATACTACTTAAAAAATTACAAATGGCTTTAAGAATATTTATCGAATATTTTAAGGATAAAAATTAATCCTCTATATTTAAATTTATTGATAAAAATGAGGGCAAATAAGATAATCAGTTTTTGATATTAAATGAGTTGAAAAGATATAATTTTAAAATATTTAATACATTTAATTATCTTTTGTTAAACCCAAACATTTAAGGAATTAACTTACATTTACCTTCATTAAATCACATATCTAAAATATTTTTGTTTCTTCTTATCATTAAGTTATATTAATTAAATCCATATATAATAAATTAATAATTCCAATAACATAAAAACTTATACTTTTAAAATCTACTTAGAAAAAAATAGTGTTTTCATCTAGGTGGGGGTAAGAAATTAAATCATTTTTAGGTCAAATCGATTAATCCATTTTGCTACAATTAAATAATAAAATTCAAAATATAAAAAAAAATAATTGGGAACATTTTAGCATCATATATTCAACATATTAAACAATAATAAGTATGATAAATAAGGAATGTTCTTTTATTAATGATGGAAATTGAATGTAAAATTTAAAACTAATTGAATATATTCTCTCATTAGGTGGATATTTTAGTAGTTTAGTGCATTCTGTCACCTGACTTAACGGCTAGGGGGTATTTGTCGTAGGGTAAAAGTTCAGGGATCTTTGTCATAGATTCCATACAAGGGGGTCTTTGTAATTTACCCTTTCACTTATGTGTATCACCTTTTTTGGGTAAACTACGAATTGCCATTATGTACTCTGGGTTGGGGGTAGACGGGTTAGTGACACTTACCCTTAAACTTTCATTTGCAGCACAAACAACTCACCCTAAACTTCTTATACTTTAGCACTTTGCTCCTCTCTCATTAATAGGCTTATGGTAAGGGTAAAATTACCAAAGTGCTCATTCTATGCTCAAGTGGCTAAAAGAAGAAAATATCAAAATAACAAAAATAAGAATGTTAAAGCACGGAATCTCTTGTTATATAGTTAGTTTCTTTTTTCTTTTAGTGTTTTTTGTATTTTCTCCATTATCTTGTTGTATTTAGAATTTTTTTGATTTTCTGTATTTTGTTGTAATTTTCTCTTTTTCTTCATTTTTTGTAATATTTCCTTTTTTCAAGTTTGTATTTTTCTTTTATTTTTGTTTTTATTGTATTTGTTCAATTTTTTACAAATGGTCTCATTAAATAATATAAAGGTAGTTTGACATTTTAGAAATGTTTAAACACTCACATGACAATTGCGTGAGAATCTCTTTAGAAGTTAATAATTAGGAACAAAGTATTGGAATCTAAAATTTCAAGATGGGTTTTTGTTTTGTTGCAAATGAAAGTTGAAAGGAATTAGGTGGTATCACTACCCAAAATACAAGGTGGCAGTCTATAATTTACCCTTTTTATAACTAAAATATGTTAAAACCTGAAGTAGAATCGAAAATATTAAGGCCAAAGTTTCCAATAAGGGAGATGGGAACAGAACCTTAGAACAACCAAACTCGTTAGTATGAGCTGCCCCACTACAACTTGTATTAACAAAACTATATGCCAAACATCTAATTTCATCAACAAGCACCCAACACAATAATGAAAAGAGACAAATTTGTCATTCGATCTTATACATAAATTCTTCCAAGATCCCTACCCACAGGATACTCAAAGTGTTTGCAAGATTTTTGCTTTCAATAAGAAACCTTATCTCCATATTTCTGCTAAATCCCACCTTAGATTTAATTGGAGCTCCTGGACTTTCCTATAGATCACAAGATCCTATTGATCTTGGTAGATCGCTTGTTATTAATTTCTTAGTTGTGTTTTACGGAAAATCTGTAGACCAATGACAATGCAAGTTGAAATCTAATAGCTTTTTCATTGAAATTGTCCTTTTTGGATTTGAATTCGAATTTGGATCGCATCTACTTGATTTAAGCCATATCATTGGAATTTGTTTCAAAATAAATATTATCCATAATATTTTGATTATAGTTCATTAAAATTGATCAAAGTACTTTATTAAGGCTGTGTTTGGTTGGAGTGCAAATGTTGAACCGTTACAAATTTGTAATCCAATTCAGATTTGCATCTATTTGGTTAGACTTAAAAAAAGCATGTATTTTTTATGCAAATTTGCATATAGGCTTGGGTTTGTATCGAAAAGAGTTGAAAATATTGCTTCCTCAAAATGAAAGAAAAATTTTCTCCTATCGTTGGTCAAAGTAAATAGGTATTGTTGTTGCATCAATTTTTAGTGTTTTTCTCCAAAACCCTTGAACAGAAAGAGGAACAGAGGAGAACGGTGAACACTGAGAGAGAGAGAGGAGAACGACGAACATTGAGAGAGAGAGAGAGAGAGAGAGGAGAACAACGAACTGCGAGAGACAGAGGAGAACGACTGCGAGCGAGAAAGGTAACTCTGGTGATCTCCATGATCTCTAAAATCTAAGCTAGGTAAATCTGTTACCATCTTGATATTTGGTCTCTCATTTTCTTTTTTTTTCCCGTTTTCAGGTCGCCTACCTCTCTATTAGAAAGACTTTCTCCAAATCCATTATTTGTCTTCGTTTTTAGAGAGGTAATCCAATCTACCTTCATTTTCTGACTGCATATTTGGATTGGTATCTGTATGTGTTGGTGAGAAGGTGCTTGTTCATATTATGTTTTAAATGTCTTCTTCATATGTATATATGTTAGACCATAGGTTTATACCTATCTCTGTTGCACATACTGTAGGTATGTTTAACTCACTCAAACCCTCAAAGAACACTCAGACACCAAGAGTAACACCACGAAGCATTTACGAGCAGCTTGCAATCAACCCCCATGATGCAATGAACTTGCAGTACATCACCACCTTTGCGATGAATCGGCAACACATTAAGCAAAACCGCGATAAACCCGCGACCCACCAAGTCCAGTCAATACCCAAACCTAAACAAACCTCAGAAAGACTCATCCAAGAAGACCCAAGCACACCTAAGTGTGCGATGAAGCCACACCCGCTATGACATGCGATGAACTCACAACCTGCGAGCCCGCTCTGGATGACGCATTAGAAAGGACAGTAGGTCGAGCCCATGGCGAGGCCCGCATGTACCCAAACACACGTGGACCCACAACAGCAAAGGACTTCGTGAACCGCCACGTGGAATTGATGAAGTACCGACCGCCGAACGGAGATGTCACCGTTGCCACATAGGATTAGTCATGACGCACAAAAAGGTAGTAGCACACGTGAGTAATGAGGGATCTCAAGGATAAGGAAAGYCAGTCCTTGAGAAGATCCTCATGAGACACATGGCGATACCCAGTAGCGCATCCAATAATTGACAGCGAATCAAATATTCCCTTCCTCGATATGGAGCGAATATCTTAATCTCCTACCTTTTAGGATCTCAAAACCTCCTCCATAGATAGAGATCCTCCTCACATTAGAAATCATCCGATCCCAAGCATTGTCACCCAATACTCCCAAGTACACTCTAACTCTCCAATTGTCTCGATTTCTCTCTTTCTCTTCTAGAAGATCATTAAGCATATAGAGAGTTTTCTCAGGGTTGAAAAGGAACCCGTCTTTTTGCATCCATTTGTACTGTTGTATGGTGATTATCATGTTAGATGTTACGGAGAGACGATTCAAATTTTCAGAACATAACCAAGGTGTAAACTCATTTTACCTGCTCAAAATTAACATACCACTCATGCTCAATTGAAATTACAATAAAATGAACACTCCCTTGTTCTATTGAGTACCATGGCTTGTCCTTTCCAACAGTGGGCATGGGAAAATATGTCTCATAAGGAACACATTCTTCACCAGAGTCCAGTGTCTTGTACACTGATCCTGAGCTTGCAAAATCTCTGTAAATGTTATCAACAAGGAATTATATCAACTGGCTACTAAAAAAAGATGGAAAATGGCAATTCAAGCCCATAGAGTCTTGATATATTTACCATTAGTTCTCTCATCTGTTCTTCTATAAGCATCCACAGGAAAAAAACAAACAAAAGGAAAATAAAGAGTTTATTTGAAATAAGAGACTTCAGAAGGCATAGGTTTGATGAGGTGAAGAAAGAAATATTTGGAATAAGGCTTGTTCAAAAAAAATAATGATTTTTTTGAGAACATAATGTGTTCAGTTTTTGTTTTTATTCTATTAGGTTGCGTTTGGATGGGGTGTAAAACTCGGTTAGGTGTATTTTTATATTCCGGTCCTATTTTGCGACCGTTTGGATGGCGTGTAAAAATACACTGAAAATAGGTGTAAAAATGATTTCTGATTTTTTTTACTTCGATTATCGATGTATAAATGATATTTTCGATGTAAAACTCCATCGAAGTAAACAAGGTGTAAAAACTCTGTATCAGCCAACGACTCTTCGTCTCCTCTAATCCTCTCTCTCATCATCAAGCACTTCGCTAGCACCCTCACTA